TGCTTTTGCCTATATCGAAAGAATAGAGATTGTGCATCACAGCATGCCATATTCAAAGCTCAAACTAAATTGGGCCATCTATCATTCCCATGAAAGGATGGCTGGCAGATTGACACATGCATAACACAGAAAGAAAACTCCGACGAAATTGTGCAATCCGAAATAAATGCGCGATCAAAGCGAGTGGAATTCGCGACCGTTAATCAAGTTTGTCACGTGGATAGCAACTTTAATAGATGCTTATCATGATCCAGTGCTACCTGTATATAGCTTGATCTAATATTCAAATTATTGCTAACAGAAACATCCTACACTGCCGAGTGGAGGAGCCCACATAATAAGGATCAGATTTTCGAGCGTCATTTGCTGCTACGTAGCTGCGCATTGAGCACGCATGCTATGCTGTTTCTGTTAGCAATAATTTGAATATTAGATCAAGCTATATACAGGTAGCACTGGATCATGATAAGCATCTATTAAAGTTGCTATCCACGTGACAAACTTGATTAACGGTCGCGAATTCCACTCGCTTTGATCGCGCATTTATTTCGGATTGCACAATTTCGTCGGAGTTTTCTTTCTGTGTTATGCATGTGTCAATCTGCCAGCCATCCTTTCATGGGAAATGATAGATGGCCCAATTTAGTTTGAGCTTTGAATATGGCATGCTGTGATGCACAATCTCTATTCTTTCGATATAGGCAAAAGCATTTGCCGTAGTGCACTTGTGTCAATAGAATCCACTATGAATTATTTGAACTGTGAAACAATAGCACTTGGTACTTTTCACAAATCTCTGCGAGAGTCATTTCAAAATAAGCTCATTGTTTGAAAGTAAAGAAATCCAGACACGGTTTGTGTTCAATAGAACTATTCTATTACTTAGCAAAGGTTGGAGGTAAGAAAAATGGTGCGTGAGCTATTTTGTCAAATTCAGGGCTTGTTGACATGTGGTCCGTAGAATGACCTTTTTCTGTTCGCGATTTTCACGGCAGGTGCTCTTTGTCACGGGCACTGTGAGGACGTGACATTTTTTATTTGGTTAAATGCAACCACAAATTTCGTAAGTTCAGCGTAAGTATAAAAGCCGAATTCGGGCGGCATGATGGTATCGTGGCAGACACTAAACTTCAAAAATGCTTACGGTAAGTTCGAAACTGTCTTATGGAACTGTGCCATAAGGAGTACACTCGTTTCCTGTTACTCAGCACTTTTCAGCTTTTCATCTTCTTGCTCAACCTTTACGGTTCATGCATTGGATTCCGGAACGCCCCAGACTCACGTACGTCTTACGCTTCCTTTATTATACATAGGCTATGTTGACAAGCGCAATGTTCACTTGAGGAGGGCGTTGTCACTATACTCGCAGCTGTGAATATTTGAGCCCACCCAACGTTACACATCTGACAGATGCGTAAGCAAGAGCAGCAGGAAAATGCGGCAAAAGTCACCGTGCCCGTTGCTGAAAAGCGTTTTCTCCACCGGGAATCGCTTGGTACAATTTCTGTGTGACCGTTTTGGCAAAATAAGTCCGTCGACATGTCGATAGAATCGCCGGAGCTTTATGGATACAATGGAAGAACACATTATAAGGTCGGGAAGGGAAATCTTCTCATGTAGTAGAAAGACAGAACAATCCCCTCAGGATGCGGACCGACACGCATTTCGCACGCAAAGGATATGTAGTGTTCAAAGGATGGAAGTTTGATACGTAGCCCAACAGGAGTTCGAAGGAAATTGTTCCCAACAATTTTAGAATTTTGCAAAAACCATGGTGATTTCATGGACGATACGACACGATACAAAATCCTGGAATTCCACAATGGCTTTCAGAAGTATGATTGCCGAGGGAACGTCACCTGGTTATCAAGGAAGATATCTACCACCTGCAAGAAATTTGTACAAGATGGTTAGTTCAAAATTCAGGAAGGCAGTCAAAAGGCTTTCCAAGAAGTTGGCATCGGGGGCACTGTAAAGAGGGCAGACATTCCTCCGTTTGAGAACCCATTCCCAGGCTTTTAACTGACCAACTCAAAACTTTCAGTATTGTGCTATCCCGGAGCCATCAGGACCTAAATTTGTTTAACACGGAGAAGCTTGTGAAACTTTTGTAAATGAAACTTTTGGAGCCTCTGTGTTAAACAAATTCAACTCAATTTTATTCAAAGATATTCACTTGAAGGACTGAAAGGCGTTGCCAAAACTGCACTTAAACACAATCCCCAGTTCTACACAAGACACCTGACTAATGGCTTGCAAGTCTAATTTGACCATCTACTTTTATGTGATAGATTGCAGCACAAAACGAGGCAATTTATGATTACTGCAGACCTAGGTGCCCAGGTTTCAGTTAAGAAGGCAGATTATTGCACGCAATTCATTCTCTTGCAGAGGTGGAATTGTGATCTTGAAGAAAAGGCATATAAGTTAACTAGGAACTGTTCTCATTCCATCAATGAGAAGTTGAACCTTGGGACAGAACGCGTACTAGTAAGTAAATGAGCATGGGTTGTAATTCAACAAGCAACTTATTTTTCTAATGTTTGAATGTATTCCAGTGCCTATGATGGAGACTACGTTTACGAAGCGGGAAAACATAAAGTCATCAAGGATGCAATGTATCAATGGACTATGCCAGCTGAATATTATGACGTGAAGCGAGCCTTCAAAGATGATCGTGTGTACACGTTCGCAAATGTAAAACATTTATTCGAATTTTTTCCTGTCTTTGGAATAGAAGTAAAACAGCATTTCAGATGGCATACCAGGATATCTACGAAGTTGGCTGCAATTATGAACAGTGTGTTGACGAGAATAATTTTGTCGTTGAGGCAGCGATAGTTTGTATCTACAACAAAAAGTAAGCGACACATCAAAAACTACTACAGTCTATTACTTGAAACATCTCTATTTCAGTGTCCCTAAAGGCGCCATGCTCTACCAGAAAGGAGATGGAACCGGCTGTGAGAAAACTCCCAAAGTGTGTAAAGTGAAGGGATCCACATGCGGAGGTCTGCTCTGCGAATTACCTCCTCGAAATCCTCCTTCACTCCTATGATCTATCGATTGTCTTTTTGGTTTGGAAATAAAGCTTGCAGTATTATTTCCCGTAAGTAAAGTGTATAGCGTTGAATCAGCGGCAACGGAACAGAATTAGAGATTTTGAGTGTGAGTGCGAAGCATGCATTCGGCTTTCAAAAAATAGTTTTTAGTTTTATGAGTCACCATTCCATTATTCTTTTTTATTTATTTATTTATTCATACGCTACATAAGGTAGACGTGAGAAAACAAAACAACAGTACGCTATACTAGAACCTCATACACTAAGTAAAACTCAACAGTTCTTTCTTCGCAAGGCGTTTAAAGTGCATAAAAGCAGGAGAAAGTAGTGCAACTTTTGATTTAAGGGAGATAAAAACTGAGCCTGCTCTACAGGTGAAACTGTGAAGCTTCAAATTGGTTCGAGGCGTTGCATATGAAATTTTCACAGAACCGCCCCTGGTTCTAAATTTAGTTCCTACTGAAGAACTCAGACGCATCAATTTGGAAATCACACTTAATATCCTAAAAACCATGCAAACATCACATAGCTTCCTACGTGATTTCAAGCTATGTAGTCCAAAACTTTGACCCTCGGGGCCGAGCGAGGCACGCTAGAGAATGCTGCCTGTCTCGAATTAACATATATTTTGCAGGTGTAGTTATTCTAATTTTTTCCATTAACTCCTTGTCTTTTTTCTCACAAAAGCAAAAAACCGACGCACTAAGATCTGAAATGGCATCACATTCGCTTTGTATGCCCTGATTCAAAGTTCTTTATCGCAACTGTCAAGCCCTTACAAATTTGGTACGTTCGAAGAGTAGATGGCCTCGTAGTGATCAAAAAAGCTGAGCTTGTTGTCATAATGGAATCCAGTATCCTTCACGGAGGAGACTTCATTTAGAACATGCTCTCCACGTCTTGGCTCCAAACAACATAGAGCCACTAATTCTCGTGAAACACGGTTTTTTCAAGAGCTAGACGTAGCCTCCATGACGCATTGTCAGACCACTGCGAGATAAAATACTAAAAACTCTGAATACTCCTTATGTCCTCAATACTCTCTATTTCCCTATATACCTCGACGATGATGTGGTGTGCAAACTGTTTGCAAATAAGACCACATCCTTCCAAAAGGTTGGGCAGACCAGCAGTGCAAATAGCAAACAGAATGGGTGATAAAACACCACCTTGAGGAACCCCACTCCAACCTCCTTAGCCTTAGAAAAGACTGAACCAATTCTAACCTGAAACGTTCTCTGAGACAAAAATTCTTCAATTCCATGAACAGATTATGGGATGAAATTTGAGCTGGACTAGCGTCAGTAGGAGCTTAGAGTGGCCCTCTTTATCGGAAACCTTGGAAAAATCGAAACAGAGCGAAACATCACAAGCTTTTTTGCCTAAAAATAATCACTCCAATCATCGATACATGCCAAGAGAATTTTTCCACCGACCTACCAGGAACAAACCGATGTTGATTGGCTGGTATAATCCCATTTTTATCCAGATGCTCCCTAATATGTTCCTTAAGGAATCCTCTCGAACATACGACAGAAAAAAGAACTAATACTTACAGGCCTGCAATAGTCAATACGTTGATTTTCTTTCCAATAACGGTGTATCAAAGAAGTGCTTCCATCTTGAAGGGACTTCCGTAAAACATAGCGCCTTAGCGCCTGGTTGAATAAATGAGCCAGCGGTTCTGTTAAAACATGCGCTATGTTCTTGACAAACATAGAAGGAATAAAATCCGAAGTCAAGTGAGAAAGAATTAGGCAGCTCCTCCAAGAGAGCATAGATTGTCAAACTGTGAATCCACGGATTGGACTAGCAATTGAGGGAGTAAAAGCTGGTAAAGCATCGTCACTCTCCGTTAACACCTCAAAAAATTTGTCTTCTTAATCCTGATCCGAGACTAGAACCACACCATCTTTTTCCAAGCAGGGGATTTTTGAGTAGATTTAAGTTTCTTGTTTAATATTTTGGAAAAACCGCTCTTATCTCCGCAGCTGATAGTCTTCTCTTTCAAGATTTTTTCTGTTGTTTTTTAGCACGTGGTCAAACTTTCGAAAAGAAGAATGAAATGTTTT